CATTATCATTATTATGTCTAGAAATAGGAATGATTATAAAATAAACTAAAAAAGAAAACTGAGTAAGTTTTACTGAATATCTTTCACTTTTGATGGATTAATAGATGTATTTGATTGATTTATAAAGATTTCTCGATGATGATCTAATACGACGACTTCCTTGTCCATTGTTTTTATCTCTACTGTATCGTTAAAGAGCAAGATGGTGTTTTTTCCATATTCAAATAAGATATACCTTTATTTATTGGTGGACCGATTAGAAGAATTTTAGCTGTCATTTCGGCTTTCTAAATAAAAATATTTCTAATTTAATATGAGTATTCTGAAATCATACTAAACGTCGTTCGATTTGTTGACGTAATCGCATTTGTACATCATCAATCATCATTTGGATTTGTTTATCATTAATTGGTTGAAATTCCTTACAATCAAATTTATCTAATAGATCATCAAAATAATATTCAATTGCTATTCGCATACATTCTTCACGTGAATATATTGATAATGTATGATTAGCATAAGCATAAAACAGTTTTCGTATACTATCTAATGTATCGTATTCTATATCTAATGTTAATTGTATATAAGAGTCTTGATGTTTTAAAGAATATCGTTTATCAAATAATTCTTTGAGTTTATGTTCAACAGAATTAATAATTGTTGTTTCATTGATACTTTGTATAAAATAAAGATTATTTTGATATTCTTTATCAAAAAGTTTTGGTTCTTGTTCATATGTAATATCAAAAGTAAGTTTTTCAACAATTTCTTCATCGTTTAATAAATGAATAATAACGCGACGTTTATCAGTATTAGTTAAAGGTTCCAATTCAACTTGTACACGTCGTATTTGTTCAAAAAAATGATTATGATTTGTTTGCAAATATTCACGAACATAATCAGAAATAAGCTGTACGATTGTTGATTGCTAAAAAATGAAAATATTGCTAAAGTTTTGTTACATTACAACTACTATATGGAACATCTTTGTTTAAAGAGTATTTGTTTTTTTATTACTCAACTACAGATTACACGAAAGAATTTACAAAGAATAAATCGCTCATAGTTTCTGATATATATTTTTAAAATTTTTATAATTAGAATGGAATACATAATACTCCATTGCAGGAGATACAAAGCGAATATCATGTAGAGTGAAATTTATTATCATTTTTCGCTGTTATTGAGTCTCATTCTGTCCATTAAGCAAAATCGTTGTTTATGTGTTGTAAAATATATTAAAGTGTCTTATTACCCCTTGTTTTTTGAAATTTACTAAACAGTACGTACTGAAAGGCAATACTCTATATGAATAGAAAGTAGAGTGTAATGGTGCAAAACCAGACGAAGAGGACTTTATAAATACAGCCGTAAGTGTCCGGAAACGATGTATTTTAGATACGAAACAGTGAGAAAAAGGTATTTGCCGCATTATGACTTTAAAACCGGTCAAACAAATCCAAAACGTCACTCTGTTTTAGCCTTGTCAAAAGGCCTTGATGATCTATCTGCATATTTCTCTTTTAAACACACCCTATCCAATATACTACCTTCGATAGAGAATTAAATTCTGCACCTAAGGTAAATATTCAGTACATCAGCACAGAGTCTCAAATGTATATGAACAAGAATTACTCGAATCTGATGCTAACCTTACTTGCGTACTTATGTAGTTAAAGTAAGACACCTTTAATCAAAATACCAAATTATCAAACATTACATAAAAATTGATTCTTTTGCTTGTCAAAGACTTATGTTTCAATCACAAAAAAAGATTCTGAGTAAATATTTCCTAAAAGTAAAACGTTTTCATTCTAATCTGTGCTGTAATTTTATCGAACAAAGAAACAATCAGATCTTAATTTAAATTCTATAACTTTACTGATAATTTATAAGATTATGAAAATCGAATAAAAAGTTTAGAAAATGAAATATAACAAGAAATAAAGATGTATACTTGATCAGATTTAGCATCAACATTTGTCAGATTATCTTCTGTTTGTGTAATTTTCATATCAGAATAATGCGTAGAAGCCAGTAATAGAACAAGTTTGTTTTTATTTATTCGAATAATATGACCATCATAAATATCTCCAAATTCTGATGTTAATTCAAACATTTTCAGTTCTTGCTTAGATAATTCATTCTAAAGTGAGGACCAAAAATCAATTGAATAATATAAAAAGAAAAAAAAATTACTGGATGTAAAATAAAATGACCAATAATATCAATATCAAGTTCAACATTTGTTGCATATCGTAGAAGATCTTTCAATGTATGTTCACGTAAATGTCGAGATAACTTATAAAATAATTAAAATAGAAGATTATTAAGATAGTTTTCAAATTATTTACAAGATATTTTCGATGATAAAATGTTTTAAATGTTGCTTCGGTTTTTGATCCATCAAAACAAGATGCTTGATAAAAATCAGCATGAAGAGCATCACGTGGACGACGTGATATAGGTATAGGTTGATTTGGGTGTGATGTTTTATTGCTTTTGAGTAAATTATCTTTTTGAGT